TTGTATATGCTGTAAATTGTTGTATTACTGTTGTATATGCTGTAAATTGTTGTATTACTGTTGTATATGCTGTAAATTGTTGTATTACTGTTGTATATGCTGTAAATTGTTGTATTACTGTTGTATATGCTGTAAATTGTTGTATTACTGTTGTATATGCTGTAAATTGTTGTATTACTGTTGTATATGCTGTAAATTGTTGTATGAGCATAAATGGCTAAACTTGACTTCAAATAATATTAGAAAGTGCTGATGAGGACACCACTTTGATAAGACAACACTTAAGAGGAGCCGCATCTTTAGAGGAGAAATGTCCGTATGAGACACAGGATGTGGATATTACTGTCACAGTGAACACCTGTTACATTCACACGTACACGGGGCACACACACACACGTACACGGGGCCACACACACACACGTACACGGGGCCACACACACACACGTACACGGGGCCACACACACACACGTACACGGGGCCACACACACACGTACACTGGGCCACACACACACGTACACGGGGCCACACACACACACGTACACGGGGCACACACACACACGTACACGGGGCACACACACACACGTACACGGGGCCACACACACACGTACACGGGGCACACACACACACGTACACGGGGCCACACACACACGTACACGGGGCCACACACACACGTACACGGGGCCACACACACACACGTACACGGGGCCACACACACACGTACACGGGGCACACACACACGTACACGGGGCCACACACACACACGTACACGGGGCACACACACACACGTACACGGGGCACACACACACACGTACACGGGGCACACACACACACGTACACGGGGCCACACACACACACGTACACGGGGCCACACACACACACGTACACGGGGCCACACACACACACGTACACGGGGCCACACACACACACGTACACGGGGCCACACACACACACACGTACACGGGGCCACACACACACACGTACACGGGGCCACACACACACGTACACGGGGCCACACACACACACGTACACGGGGCCACACACACACACGTACACGGGGCCACACACACACGTACACGGGGCCACACACACACACGTACAGGGGGCCACACACACACGTACACGGGGCCACACAAACGTACACGGGGCCACACACACACACACGTACACGGGGCCTCACACACACGTACACGGGGCCTCACACACACGTACACGGGGCCTCACACACACGTACAGGGGGCCACACACACACGTACACTGGGCCACAAACACACGTACACGGGGCCTCACACACACGTACACGGGGCCTCACACACACGTACACGGGGCCTCACACACACGTACACGGGGCCTCACACACACGTACACGGGGCCACACACACACGTACACTGGGCCACAAACACACGTACACGGGGCCACACACACACGTACACGGGGCCTCACACACACGTACACGGGGCCTCACACACACGTACACGGGGCCTCACACACACGTACACGGGGCCTCACACACACGTACACGGGGCCACACACACGCACGTACACGGGGCCACACACACACGTACACGGGGCCACACACACACACGTACAGGGGGCCACACACACACGTACACGGGGCCACACAAACGTACACGGGGCCACACACACACACACGTACACGGGCCACACACACGTACACGGGGCCACACACACACACGTACACGGGGCCACACACACACGTACACGGGGCCACACACACACGTACAGGGGGCCACACGTACACGGGGCCACACATACACACGTACACGGGGCCACACACACACGTACACGGGGCCACACAAACACACGTACACGGGGCCACACAGGGGCCCTACAGGGCCTCGTAGCCTGGTGGATAGCGCGCAGGTTTCGTAAGTCTGTGGCGCGGGTTCGATTCCCGCACGAGGCAGAAACAAATGGGCAAAGTTTCTTTCACCCTGAATGCCCCTGTTACCTAGCAGTAAATAGGTACCTGGGAGTTAGTCAGCTGTCACGGGCTGCTTCCTGGGGTGTGTGTGTGTGTGTGTGTGTGTGTGTGTGTGTGTGTGTGTGTGTGTGTGTGTGTGTGTGTGTGTGTGTGTGTGTGTGTGTGTGGTGTGGAGAAAAAAAAAAAAAAAAAAAAAAGTAGTTAGTAAACAGTTGATTGACAGTTGAGAGGCGGGCCGAAAGAGCAAAGCTCAACCCCCGCAAACACAACTAGTAAACACACGTACACGGGGCCACACAAACACACGTACACGGGGCCACACAAACACACGTACACGGGGCCACACAAACACGTACACACGTACACGGGGCCACACAAACACGTACACACGTACACGGGGCCACACAAACACACGTACACGGGGTCACACAAACACACGTACACGGGGCCACACACACGTACACGGGGCCTCACACACGTACACGGGGCCACACACACACGTACACTGGGCCACAATCACACGTACACGGGGCCACACACACACGTACACGGGGCCTCACACACACGTACACGGGGCCTCACACACACGTACACGGGGCCTCACACACACGTACACGGGGCCTCACACACACGTACACGGGGCCACACACACGCACGTACACGGGGCCACACACACACGTACACGGGGCCACACACACACACGTACAGGGGGCCATACACACACGTACACGGGGCCACACAAACGTACACGGGGCCACACACACACACGTACACGGGGCCACACACACGTACACGGGGCCACACACACACGTACACGGGGCCACACACACACGTACACTGGGCCACAAACACACGTACACGGGGCCACACACACGTACACGGGGCCACACACACGTACACGGGGCCACACACACGTACACGGGGCCACACACACACACGTACACGGGGCCACACACGTACACGGGGCCACACACACACGTACACGGGGCCACACACACGTACACTGGGTCACAAACACACGTACACGGGGCCACACACACACACACGTACACGGGGCCACACACACGTACACGGGGCCACACGTACACGGGGCCACAAACACACGTACACGGGGCCACACACACACACGTACACGGGGCCACACACACACGTACACTGGGTCACAAACACACGTACACGGGGCCACACACACACACACGTACACGGGGCCACACGTACACGGGGCCACAAACACACGTACACGGGGCCACACACACGTACACGGGGCCACACACACACGTACACGGGGCCACACACACACGTACACGGGGCCACACATACGTACACAGGGCCACACACACGTACACGGGGCCACACACACACGTACACGGGGCCACACACACGTACACGGGGCCTCACACACACACGTACACGGGGCCTCACACACACGTACACGGGGCCCCACACACACACGTACACGGGGCCACACAAACACGTACACGGGGCCACACACAAACACGTACACCGGGCCACACACACACACGTACACGGGGCCACACACACACACGTACACGGGGCCACACACAAACACGTACACGGGGCCACACACACACGTACACGGGGCCACACACACACACGTACACGGGGCCACACACACACACGTACACGGGGCCTCACACACACACGTACACGGGGCCACACACACACACGTACACGGGGCCACACACACACACACACAACCATATTATGAGGGAGATGTTAGTGAATAATGAAGTGAATGAACTAGAGGAGAGAACAAGATGGAAGAAACTGAGTTGAACGGTGCTGAGTTGAACGGTGCCGAGTTGAACGGTGCTGAGTTGAACGGTGCTGAGTTGAACGGTGCTGAGTTGAACGGTGCTGAGTTGAACGGTGCTGAGTTCAACGGTGCGGAGCAAGAAGAAGCAGAGTCTGAATGAACGACCAGAAAACACTGAGAGAGACAGTTGGCGGAAAATCTATATAAAACCAGGAGGGAGCAAGAGAAGCCCTCAACCTAGGGTCATGGACACTCAGGCATCATCACAATCACTTGCTGTACCGTAAGGGGCCTCGTAGCCTGGTGGATAGCGCGCAGGACTCGTAATACTGTGGCGCGGGTTCGATTCCCGCACGAGGCAGAAACAAATGGGCAAAGTTTCTTTCACCCTGAATGCCCCTGTTACCTAGCAGTAAATAGGTACCTGGGAGTTAGTCAGTTGTCACGGGCTGCTTCCTGGGGGTGGAGGCCTGGTCGAGGACCGGGCCGCGGGGACACTAAAGCCCCGAAATCATCTCAAGATAACCTCAAGATAACCGCTCTCTGTATTATTTAACGCTCCGCTGGATGGGGGTGAGTGGCCCAGCAGCTAGTAGACGGCTACAGTTAAAAGAATTTATTGACAAGGGGGACAGGCAAAAGCCAGTGGCTTACCCCATAAGGGGCTAGAGAGATGAGACCTAATGAACGCCTAGACCTACCAGAATATTGATATACTCCCAGAGGTCCTTTGACATAGAACTATATAAAAGACTGTGCCAGTGGCACAGTTCTATACAAGGAGTCACCAGCCTTCAAGACATCTCCTCTAAGCTCTCCAAGGAAAAGTTATAAGTAAAGTTTGGGGTGAATAAGATCCATTTCTCTATACTTTGGGGGCATAAGCAATTAGAAAAAAAAACACTATTTTCCAGGGACAAAAACAGTGTTACATTGTGTGAGATGACATCAAGCACAGCACCGTCCAGGCTGCCAGGAGACCCTCCAGGCTGGCAGGAGACCTTCCAGGCTGGCAGGAGACCTTCCAGGCTGCCAGGAGACCCTCCAGGCTGGCAGAAGACCGTCCAGGCTGGCAGGAGACCTTCCAGGCTGGCAGGAGACCTTCCAGGCTGGCAGGAGACCCTCCAGGCTGGCAGAAGACCGTCCAGGCTGGCAGGAGACCTTCCAGGCTGGCAGGAGACCTTCCAGGCTGGCAGGAGACCCTCCAGGCTGGCAGAAGACCGTCCAGGCTGGCAGGAGACCTTCCAGGCTGGCAGGAGACCTTCCAGGCTGGCAGGAGACCCTCCAGGCTGGCAGGAAACCGTCCAGGCTGGCAGGGGACCTTCCAGGCTGGCAGGAGACCTTCCAGGCTGGCAGGAGACCCTCCAGGCTGGCAGGAGACCCTCCAGGCTGGCAGGAGACCGTCCAGGCTGGTAGGAGACCTTCCAGGCTGGCAGGGGACCTTCCAGGCTGGCAGGAGACCCTCCAGGCTGGCAGGAGACCCTCCAGGCTGGCAGGAGACCTTCCAGGCTGGCAGGAGACCTTCCAGGCTGGCAGGAGACCCTCCAGGCTGGCAGGAGACCCTCCAGGCTGGCAGGAGACCCTCCAGGCGGCCAGGAGACCCTCCAGGCTGCCAGGAGACCCTCCAGGCTGGCAGGAGACCCTCCAGGCTGGCAGGAGACCCTCCAGGCTGGCAGGAGACCCTCCAGGCGGCCAGGAGACCCTCCAGGCGGCCAGGAGACCCTCCAGGCTGCCAGGAGACCGTCCAGGCGGCCAGGAGACCGTCCAGGCGGCCAGGAGACCCTCCAGGCGACCAGGAGACCGTCCAGGCGGCCAGGAGACCCTCCAGGCGGCCAGGAGACCCTCCAGGCGGCCAGGAGACCCTCCAGGCGGCCAGGAGACCCTCCAGGCGGCCAGGAGACCGTCCAGGCGGCCAGGAGACCCTCCAGGCGGCCAGGAGACCCTCCAGGCGGCCAGGAGACCCTCCAGGCGGCCAGGAGACCCTCCAGGCGGCCAGGAGACCGTCCAGGCGGCCAGGAGACCCTCCAGGCGGCCAGGAGACCCTCCAGGCGGCCAGGAGACCCTCCAGGCGGCCAGGAGACCGTCCAGGCTGGTACTTACCACATGTCCGTTTTCTTAGTGATGGGCTCGTAGAGCAGGATCTCGGGAGCTGTGGGGAGAAGACACACATTAACATCTCACCTCTCTACTTATTAATATATATCTTTATATTTTTTATCAATAAGCACACACACAAATGTGTATATATATATGCGAACATGCCTGAATGGCTTATATATGTGTATATATATATATGTGTATATATATATATATATATATATATATATATATATATATATATATATATATATATATATATATATGTCGTACCTACTAGCCAGAACGCACTTCTCAGCCTACTATGCAAGGCCCGATTTGCCTAATAAGCCAAGTTTTCATGAATTAATTGTTTTTCGACTACCTAACCTACCTAACCTAACCTAACTTTTTCAGCTACCTAACCTAACCTAACCTACAAAGATAGGTTAGGTTAGGTTAGGTAGGGTTGGTTAGGTTTGGTCATATATCTACGTTAATTTTAACTCCAATAAAAAAAATTGACCTCATACATATTGAAATGTGTAGCTTTATCTTTTCATAAGAAAAAAATTAGAAAAAATATATTTCAGGAAAACTTGGATTATTAGGCAAATCGGGCTTGCATACTAGGCCGAGAAGTGCGTTCTGGCTACTAGGTACGACATATATATATATATATATATATATATATATATATATATATATATATATATATATATATATATATATATATATATAGAGAGAGAGTGAGAGAGAGAGAGAGAGAGAGAGAGAGAGAGAGAGAGAGAGAGAGAGAGAGAGAAAGAGAGAGAGAGAGAGAGAGAGAGAGAGAGAGAGAGAGAGAGAGAGAGAGAGAGAGAGAGAGAGAGAGAGAGAGAGAGAGAGAGAGAGAGAGAGAGAGAGAGAGAGAGAGAGAGAGAGAGAGAGAGAGAGAGAGAGAGAGAGAGAGAGAGAGAGAGAGAGAGAGAGAGAGAGAGAGAGAGAGAGAGAGAGAGAGAGAGAGAGAGAGAGAGAGAGAGAGAGAGAGAGAGAGAGAGAGAGAGAGAGAGAGAGAGAGAGAGAGAGAGAGAGAGAGAGAGAGAGAGAGAGAGAGAGAGAGAGAGAGAGAGAGAGAGAGAGAGAGAGAGAGAGAGAGAGAGAGAGAGAGAGAGAGAGAGAGAGAGAGAGAGAGAGAGAGAGAGAGGGGGGTACCACCTCTTGTGCAATTGCTGGGACCCACAGCCTCAAAGAAGGGAACACAGAGCATTCAGAGAAAAACTTGTCATTTACAAGGTTTTACAGTTACATATCTGATTGTTTACAAAAAGAGAACATTAAGAGGAAATAAGGGAAAGTTTGTTTCCTAGAGGCTGTAGATTTCCTCGAACTCCTCCGACGCCGGGCAGGAACCGAGGATGCAGCGGGCATTCCCTCTCTGGATCACGACACTGAGGTGCTGAAAGAGAAAACTTGCCGCTCTAGGGTCTCTTGTAGTGTCAATGAGCTTGGAACCAAGATCCTTAAGAAATCTTCTTGCACTCTCTCCCCATAGACCTAGGGTCTCAGACCCTATTGGAACGAAGTTGTACCGATGATCTATTCCCATGTACTTGACTGACTTGTCTCTTTCTCTGCGTGTCGCCGCGGCTCCTGCTGTGCCGGCAGAGAGGTTGATGTATGTGGTTGCCAGGGTGGATACGCAAGTATAGTCCCATGCCAACTGTCTGCCACCCTTCCACGGTCGCAGTGTGATTCCATCTGGTAGGCCGGCAAAGATAGCAGAGTTACGGTTCAATAAATTGCGGGGGCTCTCTCTCTGCTGGTCACTGGGAAGAGGCAAGGCTCCTTTTAATGATGTCATTGACTTCGTCGTATCAAGTGTGCCAACCACCAGATTTTCCACAGTGCAGGCCATGCAATCCATATTCGTCAGCATCTGCCTCGCCGCAAATACACCTGTGAACAGTGTGGATAGGGGCAGCAAGGCGGAGAGCGACTGCAATACGGAGCTCCTGCGGATCAAGACGTGTGCCTGTCGCAGACATAGGGACTGCCAAAAGCAAGTCCCCTGCATGGGGAGCCTGCACAGCTGTGAGGCGTGCACGGTCACTGGGGGTTGTTGCTGCCTCCAGCAGAGCTGTGGCTTCTTTGTCTACAATGGGGCTGTCCCAACTGGATTGTTTCTTGGCTTTCGGCATGGCTGGTCTGAGTGCTGGTCTGCCATGGCACCCCATTTTGTGTCGCATATTATATATATATATATATATATATATATATATATATATATATATATATATATATATATATATATATATATATATATATATATATATATATATATATATATTTCATTGAATATGACCGCATATTCTGTATTTATTATTTTCTGGTTTAGGGCTTCTATCCCTCTAACTATTTTCTTAGCATCAGGGCTTAATTGGAATAGGAGTTCTCCAAAACTCATTTTCGTACTTTTAAGGTGAAGAAAAGAAGTGATTTACTATAGAGTGTATTACACTTATTTGTATAATTTGCACGACGTTTCGAACCTCCATGGTTCATTCTCAAGTGAACAGATCTTACAATACTAGTTGATTTTATACCCGCATTAGGTCAGGTGATAATACAATGAAGGTGAAAACATGGGGGGATACATAAGGGATAAACATAGCGGCTGCAGAAGGCTTATTGGCCCATACGAGGCATCTCCTATCTAAACACAAAGATTAATCCAGTGTAATTGGCCTGTTATGTTGGACATTGTTTTCTGTGTTGGCATCGATATGTTCTTGTCTTGTCCTTACTCTCATGGTGGGTAGAGTAAATAGTTCCGTGATTTGGGTGTTCATGGTAGGTCGCTCTATTCTATTCTCTAGAGGCAATTCACATAAGAATAGAGCGACCTACCATGAACACCCAAATCACGGAAGCACCGCAGGTTCGGAAGCACCGCAGGTGCTTCACCTTGCGGTGCTTCACCGCAAGGTGAAGCACCGCACTAATAGGTCCACCTTGTCGTTCTCCTGTTTGTAAGACGGATGGGGAAGTATGTGGCATGTTCCGTCATGTTGTGGTAGTTGGCAGAGTGTAATGTGGTGCTAGTTGGCTAAACACACCGAAACTACGACGTTGGTACAACGTTCGAACAAGTTTTAACACCTAACCAGTCATAACAACCAATATAGCAAGTTGTAACAACGTTCTAATACGTCATAAACACGTTAGGCCAAGATGTAACAACTTTATTACAAGTTGTAACAAGCGGAAAATAGAGACAGTTACGGTTTGTGTTTCCAGGGAGTTGGCTAATGATAGATGGCTTGGTGTGCTCGACGTATAATGCCTCGCCCATCTCCAGTCTTCTGCTCTCGCTGTATCTGTCAATTATTTTGGTGTTGTTTGTCAGGACATCTCTAGTGATGGTCTGGGTATGTATAGAGACAACATCTTCCTTAATACAGCCTTCCTGCGTGTGACTGGTTGATACCTGGTTGATGGGGTTCTGGGAGTTCTTCTACTCCCCAAGCCCGGCCCGAGGCCAGGCTTGACTTGTGAGAGTTTGGTCCACCAGGCTGTTGCTTGGAGCGGCCCGCAGGCCCACATATACCTGCTTGATGGGGTTCTGGGAGTTCTTCTACTCCCCAAGCCCGGCCCGAGGCCAGGCTTGACTTGTGAGAGTTTGGTCCACCAGGCTGTTGCTTGGAGCGGCCCGCAGGCCCACATACCCACCACAGCCCGGTTGGTCCGGCACTCCTTGGAGGCGTTAGGCACTGTTAGGCGTCTTGAAAGGGATGTTGTTGTTTTGCCAATATATTAAATTAGTTTGGGCTGACAGTCCCCAAGTGGGCATGTGAAAGCAAAGATGACATTCATCTCTCTCAAGGAGTTGTGTTTGGTATAAGCAGAGGTCTTCATGAGAAAGTTGGCGTCTTCTTGCTCTTATACTATATTATTTGTTCAATCTTCACCTGGTGTCAGTAGGCAGAACCATTGACACAAATGTGACCCCCATAGCTTGTGTCGTCACGTTGGTGGCTATACAAGCTATGTCACCTATAGCAACTACACCACCACCACCACAGTACTAACCAACATAGTCAGGTGTGCCCAGGACCACCAACAACAACACAGTACTAACCAACATAGTCAGGTGTGCCCAGGACCACCACCAACACAGTACTAACCAACATAGTCAGGTGTGCCCAGGACCACCACCACCAACACAGTACTAACCAACATAGTCAGGTGTGCCCAGGACCACCACAACCACCAACACAGTACTAACCAACATAGTCAGGTGTGTCCAGGACCACCAACAACACAGTACTAACCAACAAAGTCAGGTGTGTCCAGGACCAACAACAACACAGTACTAACCAACATAGTCAGGTGTGCCCAGGACCACCACCACCAACACAGTACTAACCAACATAGTCAGGTGTGCCCAGGACCACCACCACCAACACAGTACTAACCAACATAGTCAGGTGTGCCCAGGACCACCACAACCACCAACACAGTACTAACCAACATAGTCAGGTGTGTCCAGGACCACCAACAACACAGTACTAACCAACAAAGTCAGGTGTGTCCAGGACCAACAACAACACAGTACTAACCAACATAGTCAGGTGTGCCCAGGACCACCACCAACACAGTACTAACCAACATAGTCAGGTGTGCCCAGGACCACCACCAACACAGTACTAACCAACATAGTCAGGTGTGCCCAGGACCACCACCAACACAGTACTAACCAACATAGTCAGGTGTGCCCAGGACCACCAACAACACAGTACTAACCAACATAGTCAGGTGTGCCCAGGACCACCACCAACACAGTACTAACCAACATAGTCAGGTGTGCCCAGGACCACCACCAACAACACAGTACTAACCAACATAGTCAGGTGTGCCCAAGACCTCCAACAACACAGTACTAACCAACATAGTCAGGTGTGCCCAGGACCACCACCACCAACACAGTACTAACCAACATAGTCAGGTGTGCCCAGGACCACCAACAACACAGTACTAACCAACATAGTCAGGTGTGCCCAGGACCACCAACAACACAGTACTAACCAACATAGTCAGGTGTGCCCAGGACCACCACCAACACAGTACTAACCAACATAGTCAGGTGTGCCCAAGACCACCAACAACACAGTACTAACCAACATAGTCAGGTGTGCCCAGGACCACCACCACCAACACAGTACTAACCAACATAGTCAGGTGTGCCCAGGACCACCAACAACACAGTACTAACCAACATAGTCAGGTGTGCCCAGGACCACGACCAACAACACAGTACTAACCAACATAGTCAGGTGTGCCCAGGACCACCACCACCAACACAGTACTAACCAACATAGTCAGGTGTGCCCAGGACCACCACCAACAACACAGTACTAACCAATATAGTCAGGTGTGCCCAGGACCACCACCAACAACACAGTACTAACCAACATAGTCAGGTGTGCCCAGGACCACCACCAACAACACAGTACTAACCAACATAGTCAGGTGTGCCCAGGACCACCAACAACACAGTACTAACCAACATAGTCAGGTGTGCCCAGGACCACCAACAACACAGTACTAACCAACATAGTCAGGTGTGCCCAGGACCACCACCAACACAGTACTAACCAACATAGTCAGGTGTGCCCAGGACCACCACCAACAACACAGTACTAACCAACATAGTCAGGTGTGCCCAGGACCAACAACAACACAGTACTAACCAACATAGTCAGGTGTGCCCAGGACCACCAACAACACAGTACTAACCAACATAGTCAGGTGTGCCCAGGACCACCAACAACACAGTACTAACCAACATAGTCAGGTGTGCCCAGGACCACCACCAACACAGTACTAACCAACATAGTCAGGTGTGCCCAGGACCACCAACAACACAGTACTAACCAACATAGTCAGGTGTGCCCAGGACCACCACCAACAACACAGTACTAACCAACATAGTCAGGTGTGCCCAGGACCACCACCAACAACACAGTACTAACCAACATAGTCAGGTGTGCCCAGGACCACCAACAACACAGTACTAACCAACATAGTCAGGTGTGCCCAGGACCACCACCAACAACACAGTACTAACCAACATAGTCAGGTGTGCCCAGGACCACCACCAACACAGTACTAACCAACATAGTCAGGTGTGCCCAGGACCACCACCAACACAGTACTAACCAACATAGTCAGGTGTGCCCAGAATCACCAACACAGTACTAACCAACATAGTCAGGTGTGCCCAGGACCACCAACAACAACACAGTACTAACCAACATAGTCAGGTGTGCCCAGGACCACCACCAACACAGTACTAACCAACATAGTCAGGTGTGCCCAGGACCACCAACAACACAGTACTAACCAACATAGTCAGGTGTGCCCAGGACCACCACCAACAACACAGTACTAACCAACATAGTCAGGTGTGCCCAGGACCACCAACAACACAGTACTAACCAACATAGTCAGGTGTGCCCAGGACCACCACCAACACAGTACTAACCAACATAGTCAGGTGTGCCCAGGACCACCACCAACAACACAGTACTAACCAACATAGTCAGGTGTGCCCAGGACCACCACCACCAACACAGTACTAACCAACATAGTCAGGTGTGCCCAGGACCACCACCAACACAGTACTAACCAACATAGTCAGGTGTGCCCAGGACCACCACCAACACAGTACTAACCAACATAGTCAGGTGTGCCCAGGACCACCACCAACAACACAGTACTAACCAACATAGTCAGGTGTGCCCAGGACCACCACCAACACAGTACTAACCAACATAGTCAGGTGTGCCCAGGACCACCACCAACACAGTACTAACCAACATAGTCAGGTGTGCCCAGGACCACCAACAACACAGTACTAACCAACATAGTCAGGTGTGCCCAGGACCACCAACAACACAGTACTAACCAACATAGTCAGGTGTGCCCAGGACCAACAACAACACAGTACTAACCAACATAGTCAGGTGTGCCCAGGACCACCACCAACAACACAGTACTAACCAACATAGTCAGGTGTGCCCAGGACCACCACCAACACAGTACTAACCAACATAGTCAGGTGTGCCCAGGACCACCAACAACACAGTACTAACCAACATAGTCAGGTGTGCCCAGGACCACCACCAACACAGTACTAACCAACATAGTCAGGTGTGCCCAGGACCACCAACAACACAGTACTAACCAACATAGTCAGGTGTGCCCAGGACCACCACCACCACCACAGTACTAACCAACAAAGTCAGGTGTGCCCAGGACCACCAACAACAACACAGTACTAACCAACATAGTCAGGTGTGCCCAGGACCACCACCAACAACACAGTACTAACCAACATAGTCAGGTGTGCCCAGGACCACCACCAACACAGTACTAACCAACATAGTCAGGTGTGCCCAGGACCACAACCAACACAGTACTAACCAACATAGTCAGGTGTGCCCAGGATCACCAACAACACAGTACTAACCAACATAGTCAGGTGTGCCCAGGACCACCAACACAGTACTAACCAACATAGTCAGGTGTGCCCAGGACCACCAACAACAACACAGTACTAACCAACATAGTCAGGTGTGCCCAGGACCACCAACAACAACACAGTACTAACCAACATAGTCAGGTGTGCCCAGGACCACCACCACCAACACAGTACTAACCAACATAGTCAGGTGTGCCCAGGACCACCACCACCAACACAGTACTAACCAACATAGTCAGGTGTGCCCAGGACCACCAACACAGTACTAACCAACATAGTCAGGTGTGCCCAGGACCACCACCACCACCAACACAGTACTAACCAACATAGTCAGGTGTGCCCAGGACCACCAACAACAACACAGTACTAACCAACATAGTCAGGTGTGCCCAGGACCACCAACAACACAGTACTAACCAACATAGTCAGGTGTGCCCAGGACCACCAACACAGTACTAACCAACATAGTCAGGTGTGCCCAGGACCACCAACACAGTACTAACCAACATAGTCAGGTGTGCCCAGGATCACCAACAACACAGTACTAACCAACATAGTCAGGTGTGCCCAGGACCACCAACACAGTACTAACCAACATAGTCAGGTGTGCCCAGGACCACCAACACAGTACTAACCAACATAGTCAGGTGTGCCCAGGACCACCAACACAGTACTAACCAACATAGTCAGGTGTGCCCAGGACCACCAACAACACAGTACTAACCAACATAGTCAGGTGTGCCCAGGACCACCAACACAGTACTAACCAACATAGTCAGGTGTGCCCAGGACCACCAACACAGTACTAACCAACATAGTCAGGTGTGCCCAGGATCACCAACAACACAGTACTAACCAACATAGTCAGGTGTGCCCAGGATCACCAACAACACAGTACTAACCAACATAGTCAGGTGTGCCCAGGACCACCAACACAGTACTAACCAACATAGTCAGGTGTGCCCAGGACCACCAACACAGTACTAACCAACATAGTCAGGTGTGCCCAGGACCACCACCAACAACACAGTACTAACCAACATAGTCAGGTGTGCCCAGGACCACCACCAACACAATACTAACCAACATAGTCAGGTGTGCCCAGGACCACCACCAACACAATACTAACCAACATAGTCAGGTGTGCCCAGGACCACCAACAACACAGTACTAACCAACATAGTCAGGTGTGCCCAGGACCACCAACAACACAGTACTAACCAACATAGTCAGGTGTGCCCAGGACCACCACCAACACAATACTAACCAACATAGTCAGGTGTGCCCAGGACCACCACCACCAACAACACAGTACTAACCAACATAGTCAGGTGTGCCCAGGACCACCACCAACACAGTACTAACCAACATAGTCAGGTGTGCCCAGGACCACCACCAACAACACAGTACTAACCAACATAGTCAGGTGTGCCCAGGACCACCAACAACACAGTACTAACCAACATAGTCAGGTGTGCCCAGGACCACCACCAACACAGTACTAACCAACATAGTCAGGTGTGCCCAGGACCACCAACAACACAGTACTAACCAACATAGTCAGGTGTGCCCAGGATCTCCCTCACTTCTCGTCCCGGCGTCAACACTCGCGAGATCTCGAAGTCGCAAAGCTTGACGGCGCAGTCAGGGAACTCCCCCATCAGCACCAGGTTTTGTGGCTGTTGGAGAACATGAGGGAGTGTTGGTGAGATAGTGTTGGTGATAGTGCTATTGTTGGAGAACATGAGGGAGTGTTGGTGAGACAGTGTTGGTGATAATGTTATTGTTGGAGAACATGAGGGAGTGTTGGTGATAGTGCTATTGTTGGAGAACATGAGGGAGTGTTGGTGAGATAGTGTTGGTGATAATGTTATTGTTGGAGAACATGAGGGAGTGTTGGTGAGATAGTGTTGGTGATAATGTTATTGTTGGAGAACATGAGGGAGTGTTGGTGAGATAGTGTTGGTGATAATGTTATTGTTGGAGAACATGAGGGAGTGTTGGTGAGATAGTGTTGGTGATAATGTTATTGTTGGAGAACATGAGGGAGTGTTGGTGAGATAGTGTTGGTGATAATGTTATTGTTGGAGAACATGAGGGAGTGTTGGTGAGATAGTGTTGGTGATAATGTTATTGTTGGAGAACATGACGGAGTGTTGGTGAGATAGTGTTGGTGATAATGTTATTGTTGGAGAACATGAGGGAGTGTTGGTGAGATAGTGTTGGTGATAATGTTATTGTTGGAGAACATGAGGGAGTGTTGGTGAGATAGTGTTGGTGATAATGTTATTGTTGGAGAACATGAGGGAGTGTTGGTGAGATAGTGTTGGTGATAGTGTTATTGTTGGAGAACATGAGGGAGTGTTGGTGAGATAGTGTTGGTGATAGTGCTATTGTTGGAGAACATGAGGGAGTGTTGGTGAGATAGTGTTGGTGATAGTGTTATTGTTGGAGAACATGAGGGAGTGTTGGTGATAGTGCTATTGTTGGAGAAGATGAGGGAGTGTTGGTGAGATAGTATTGGTGATAATGTTATTGTTGGAGAAGATGAGGGAATGTTGGTGAGATAGTGTTGGTGATAGTGTTATTGTTGGAGAACATGAGGGAGTGTTGGTGAGATAGTGTTGGTGATAGTGCTATTGTTGGAGAAGATGAGGGAGTGTTGGTGAGATAGTGTTGGTGATAATGTTATTGTTGGAGAAGATGAGGGAGTGTTGGTGAGATAGTGTTGGTGATAGTGTTATTGTTGGAGAAGATGAGGGAGTGTTGGTGAGATAGTATTGGTGATAATGTTATTGTTGGAGAAGATGAGGGAGTGTTGGTGAGATAGTGTTGGTGATAATGTTATTGTTGGAGAAGATGAGGGAGTGTTGGTGAGATAGTGTTGGTGATAATGTTAATGTTGGAGAAGATGAGGGAGTGTTGGTGAGATAGTGTTGGTGATAATGTTATTGTTGGAGAAGATGAGGGAGTGTTGGTGAGATAGTATTGGTGATAATGTTATTGTTGGAGAAGATGAGGGAGTGTTGGTGAGATAGTGTTGGTGATAATGTTATTGTTGGAGAAGATGAGGGAGTGTTGGTGAGATAGTATTGGTGATAATGTTATTGTTGGAGAAGATGAGGGAGTGTTGGTGAGATAGTGTTGGTGATAATGTTATTGTTGGAGAAGATGAGGGAGTGTTGGTGAGATAGTATTGGTGATAATGTTATTGTTGGAGAAGATGAGGGAGTGTTGGTGAGATAGTGTTGGTGATAATGTTATTGTTGGAGAAGATGAGGGAGTGTTGGTGAGATAGTATTGGTGATAATGTTATTGTTGGAGAAGATGAGGGAGTGTTGGTGAGATAGTATTGGTGATAATGTTATTGTTGGAGAAGATGAGGGAGTGTTGGTGAGATAGTGTTGGTGATAATGTTATTGTTGGAGAAGATGAGGGAGTGTTGGTGAGATAGTATTGGTGATAATGTTATTGTTGGAGAAGATGAGGGAGTGTTGGTGAGATAGTGTTGGTGATAATGTTATTGTTGGAGAAGATGAGGGAGTGTTGGTGAGATAGTGTTGGTGATAATGTTATTGTTGGAGAAGATGAGGGAGTGTTGGTGAGATAGTATTGGTGATAATGTTATTGTTGGAGAAGATGAGGGAGTGTTGGTGAGATAGTATTGGTGATAATGTTATTGTTGGAGAAGATGAGGGAGTGTTGGTGAGATAGTGTTGGTGATAATGTTATTGTTGGAGAACATGAGGGAGTGTTGGTGAGATAGTATTGGTGATAATGTTATTGTTGGAGAAGATGAGGGAGTGTTGGTGAGATAGTGTTGGTGATAATGTTATTGTTGGAGAAGATGAGGGAGTGTTGGTGAGATAGTGTTGGTGATAGTGCTATTGTTGGAGAAGATGAGGGAGTGTTGGTGAGATAGTGTTGGTGATAGTGCTATTGTTGGAGAAGATGAGGGAGTGTTGGTGAGATAGTGTTGGTGATAGTGCTATTGTTGGAGAAGATGAGGGAGTGTTGGTGAGATAGTATTGGTGATAATGTTATTGTTGGAGAAGATGAGGGAGTGTTGGTGAGATAGTATTGGTGATAATGTTATTGTTGGAGAAGATGAGGGAGTGTTGGTGAGATAGTGTTGGTGATAATGTTATTGTTGGAGAACATGAGAGAGTGTTGGTGATAGTGCTATTGTTGGAGAAGATGAGGGAGTGTTGGTGAGATAGTGTTGGTGATAGTGCTATTGTTGGAGAAGATGAGGGAGTGTTGGTGAGATAGTGTTGGTGATAATGTTATTGTTGGAGAACATGAGAGAGTGTTGGTGATAGTGCTATTGTTGGAGAAGATGAGGGAGTGTTGGTGAGATAGTGTTGGTGATAGTGCTATTGTTGGAGAAGATGAGGGAGTGTTGGTGAGATAGTGTTGGTGATAATGTTATTGTTGGAGAACATGAGAGAGTGTTGGTGATAGTGCTATTGTTGGAGAAGATGAGGGAGTGTTGGTGAGATAGTGTTGGTGATAGTGCTATTGTTGGAGAAGATGAGGGAGTGTTGGTGAGATAGTGTTGGTGATAATGTTATTGTTGGAGAACATGAGAGAGTGTTGGTGATAGTGCTATTGTTGGAGAACATGAGGGAGTGTTGGTGAGATAGTGTTGGTGATAGTGGCAGCATTCCAGCCCAAAATGCTATACTAAAGTACCCATAGTAATGATATGGTTCATAGTACAAACATGTCGAGATGGACCGTCACTTTTTGTATTACTGAATTTGGACAGACCGGAACACCGTTTATGTATTTAACCTAACCTAACTTAACCTAACTTAACCTAACTTAACCTAACTTAACCTAACTTAACCTAACCTAACTTAACCTAACTTAACCTAACCTAACTTAACCTAACTTAACCTAACTTAACCTAACCTAACTTAACCTAACTTAACCTAACTTAACCTAACCTAACTTAACCTAACTTAACCTAACCTAACTTAACCTAACTTAACCTAACTTAACCTAACTTAACCTAACCTAACTTAACCTATCTTAACCTAACCTAACTTAACCTAACCTAACTTAACCTAACCTAACTTAACCTATCTTAACCTAACCTAACCTAACCTAACCTAACCTAACCTAACTTAACCTAACCTAACCTAACCTAACCTAACCTAACCTAACCTAACCTAACCTAACTTAACCTAACCTAACCTAACCTAACCTAACCTAACTTAACCTAACCTAACCTAACCTAACCTAACCTAACTTAACCTAACCTAACCTAACTTAACCTAACCTAACCTAACCTAACCTAACTTAACCTAACCTAACCTAACCTAACCTAACCTAACCTAACTTAACCTAACCTAACCTAACTTAACCTAACTTAACCTAACCTAACCTAACCTAACCTAACCTAACCTAACTTAACCTAACCTAACCTAACCTAACCTAACCTAACCTAACTTAACCTAACCTAACTTAACCTAACTTAACCTAACCTAACCTAACTTAACCTAACCTAACCTAACCTAACCTAACCTAACCTAACCTAACTTAACCTAACCTAACCTAACTTAACCTTACCTAACCTAACTTAACCTTACCTAACCTAACTTAACCTAACCTAACCTAACTTAACCTAACCTAACCTAACCTAACCTAACTTAACCTAACTTAACCTAACTTAACCTAACTTAACCTAACTTAACCTAACTTAACCTAACTTAACCTAACCTAACCTAACCTAACCTAACCTAACCTAACCTATCTTAACCTAACCTAACTTAACCTAACCTAACCTAACCTAACCTAACCTAATCTAACCTAACCTAACCTAACCTAACCTAACTTAACCTAACTTAACCTAACTTAACCTAACTTAACCTAACTTAACCTAACTTAACCTAACTTAACCTAACCTAACCTAACCTAACCTAACCTAACCTAACCTAACCTATCTTAACCTAACCTAACTTAACCTAACCTAACTTAACCTATCTTAACCTAACCTAACTTAACCTAACCTAACCTAACCTAACCTAACCTAACTTAACCTATCTTAACCTAACCTAACTTAACCTAACCTAACCTAACTTAACCTATCTTAACCTAACCTAACTTAACCTAACCTAACCTAACTTAACCTAACCTAACCTAACTTAACCTATCTTAACCTAACCTAACCTAACCTAACTTAACCTAACTTAACCTAACTTAACCTAACCTAACTTAACCTAACTTAACGTAACTTAACCTAACCTATCCTATCCTATCCTAACCTATCGTAATCTAACCTAATCTAACCTAATTTATCTTAACCTAACCTAACCTAACCTAACCAAACCTAACCTAACCTAACCAAAAGGGGCCTCGTAGCCTGGTGAATAGCGCGCAGGACTCGTAATTCTGTGGCGCGGGTTCGATTCCCGCACGAGGCAGAAACAAATGGGCAAAGTTTCTTTCACCCTGAGTGCCCCTGTTACCTAGCAGTAAATAGGTACCTGGGTGTTAGTCAGCTGTCACGGGCTCCTTTCTGGGGGTGGAGGCCTGGTCAAGGACCGGGCCGCGGGGACACTAAAGCCCCGAAATCAACTCAAGATAACCTCAAGATAACCTAACCTAACCTATCCTAACCTAACCTAACCTAACCTAACCTATCCTATCCTAACCTAACCTAACCTAACCT